TGGTGGTGATGTGTGTAGTGTGCCCCTACTCACGCCAGCACTACCTAGCCAAGGTCTTTCATCATCATATGCTCTTCACGTCTTATCGATCAATCGATCAGTGAGATTGATGGGAAATTTGGAGACATACGCCCACTTTTTCCAGAACAGAGAGAGAGAGAGAGGGAGGGATAAAATTGCAAAACCAGAATAGGACATACGGCGCTCGAATCTGCATAATCCGCGGCTAATGCTGCCAGTTCACGCCAGCGACAAGCAAGGACACCCATTCTTGCTACCGTTCCAGGTCCATAGGGAGCAATACGCTTAGAACGGACTGTGAGCACAACTAGTTAAGAGTCGTACCTGCATAGTCCATGGCGATGCCAGCAACGACTGAGGCACACGAGTCGACAGGCTTTCATAATTGTCACGAGCAATCGCTAGCACCACAGGAGACTGTTTGCATTTCCCTAGGGATTGTGTGCGGTCGGTTGTTTCACCCCGAGTCTCCCCCGCTCCTTCAACAAGCTCCGGACGCATGATGATAATTAGCCATGGAGGCGCGCCCGCTTTTTCGAGCCAGGCAAGCACCCTTTTCATTATCAATAATATCTTAGGATAAATCAGTCATTCCTTAACTTCTACTGGGCCCAATTCGTTGCAAAACTCCATAGATCAGTCTAAACCAATTACAGCAAACATCTCCCTTGTATCAATATGTTAGCTCCTTCACACAAGAACAGCGCAAGCTCAACGCTCCACTAAAATTCATTCTCTGTCCATTTCATGAAATATGGCTAGGATCTTCGGAGTCATGAAGCTGTAGCATAAGAAGAAGTCTAGAGTTTTGTGTTTGCATAAAAGCAACATAATGTACCAAAAAATGTGCGTTTACTGGAGGTTAAGGCAGATTATCATTCGTTCTTCAGATGTTACCAGCAAGGTAGGTAACTGAGGTAAAATGTGAAAATTCTAATTTTTGAATTGTAAATCAAGGTGAGCAACATGATCTAAGCAGAGTAAGATGACCGATTATTAGTTATTTCTTCATCACCGTCTTCCCTTGCCCTACCGCTATTTGATGAAGGTAAGTTCAGATACCTTTACCACTGTTTTGTTAACCGTAGGTTGCTTAATAAACTTTTAACGAATTTATAAACGTATCTACAACAATTGTGACTTTGTATTGGAATAGATTTTTCTCCTGGATTTGCTAAAAGTCACAGTGAATGCAATCCTATGTTGACAGTTCAGCTTTCTTCGGAACTATCTTGTTATACCCAATTCCTTCCCATATATCTAGGATCTTTTCCTTA